CGGAAGTTGTTTACATTGATTTGTCTAGGAAAACTAAGATGTCCCAGTGGAGACCGGCAGAGAACAGATTTGAACCTTTTGCACATTTTCTGCAAGATGTCTGTCCCTGTTTCCCTCTTTGCTTTTCTTTCTCCCTGACCTGATTTTTTTTTTAAAGAAACCTTGTGGAGGTGATCTAGGTCTCTGAATAGGCTGTGTTAGTGATCAGATTCTATTCTGTGATTCCAGGGGACAAAATCATAAATACATTTTGGAAGTCAACACTTTTATTGCTTAGACACATTGTGCTTATTTTATTTGAGGTTTTTTTTTTGGGGGGGGAGTTATAGGTCTGGGTTTTTATTAAATATACTGTGTTTAATGTATTGTTTTTTTTAACACTCCTATCATTATATTAAACACAGGAGATTTTAAGAATTTCATAATTTTCCATAGTGGGTTGTACATCACAAAATAAAAAGGGGTTGCTTACCAATCTGAAAATCATAAGAATTGTTCATGGATTTACATAAATTGTCTGAGAACGTTAAAGAGGAATGATAGAAATTGACAACATTTTAAAACCAAAATTTCCCAAATTTCTCTTATTACAATTTTTGAATAAAATATTAAAGACCTAATTGTAAACTGATTTGTGGATTAAAAAGCGTTAATGAAGAAAGAGCCATTCATCCAGAAGTCATCAACTTTGTGAAATGGTTTAAATTATTAAGGTTAGATATACTACATACTGTAGCTCTTTAGCGTAAATGCCTATAGTTAGACGCCTTCAAAACTGCAAAGGAACATGTAAAGGTTTATTCCAGGCTGAAAAGTAAAGAAAGGAAACACAACGTTTCAGCTGTGGAGCTTTCTTTGGGTGTGTGGAAGCTACCTACTTCAGCCTTCAAAACTGGTCTTAGACTTTTGAAAACAGTTAAGTATTTCTTTGTAAACAAATAACTTCAATGTTTTGTGGTTAACTTTGTATAAAAAGAAGGGGTGTACCATTCTTGGAGCAAAGCGTACCCAGTAAAAAAAAATGTTTATGGAAATATTTCACTTTTCAGTCTTTTCAGAAAAACTCTGAACCTTTAGCCTGATGGTTTGTTCGACTGTAAATAGAAGCCCTAACTGATCTTCTACAAAAGACAGCAGCTCTGTTACTGGTTGAAGGCGGCCTTGGGTTTATTTGAAAACATTCTGATAGATGACAGTCATCCCAAGGATGGAAAAACACAGCAGTCCTTGGAGAATGCCAGCAGCACTTAGCTTCATGGGAAAATGCTACTCACAGTGTGGCTAGGGTTCTCATCAGCCTCCTTCCTCTCTCAGTATAGCATGATGTGAGTTACAGTACTAGCATTTCAAATGAGAACTCAGCGGGAGCCAGTCCTACGCTGATACAGCTTCTCTTCTTACAGAACTGGTAAAGATGTGTTGCCCTTTTTTGAACACGTATGGAGGATCTCAAATTAAAATTTTTTGTTTCCTATTTATTCTTTCACCACTATCAATCATGTTTCGAGGAGAGATCTCTTTTAAAAAGTGTCTTGGCGAGGTGTGCTAAAACAACAATTATTTAGAAAGGTTAAAAAGATCACACATTCAATCAGAGATAGTTCTACTTTGTCTATGCCTGAAAGCAAAATAAACATAGACTTAGTCACGGTTCAGCATTTAGTTGGTATATTACGGCTGCTTGAAACAGTCTTATTTGTAAGCTAACTGTGCTCTGCCATAGGGGCACTGTAATTTTAAATGCAAACTGGCCAAAGGACGACTTTAAACTTTTCACCTGTAACACTGAATCTACAGTATGTAAACAGGTGGCAAAACTTGCATTAATGTTATGTTTTATTTTAAAAAAGCACTCCAAATGAAGTAACAGCTAGCCAATTAGCTAATGTATCCTTCAGGGAGCAGCCACTGATCAATTTGAATAGAGCAACACAGTGGGCTCTTCCAGCAGAATTACTGAATTAACACTGTTTTTCAAATGTTGTAGTACGCATGCTAACCACTCAAACTGGAGAATGCAAGGCAAATGACTTCAATATACTCTGCAAGATTCGCATTTCTACTTGGAAAAAGATAAAGCAAGATCTTCCTTCTGTTTTGTTTTCCGGGTGGCAACTCTTGACTTCAGTTGCGGTATCCCTGCCATCTCAAAATTGGGTTTCGCAGAAATCCTGCTGTTTAACGGCCAGGACCAGTGACTGGATGGATAAATTCCAAGTAAAATGATTACTTGGATGTGCATATTCCAAGTAAAAAGGAAAAGGAACAACAGAGCTTTGTCTAAATATAATCTGAAATCCCTTACTAGAACAAATAAAATAAAAACCAGCAGGATTACCGCATATAGTCTGTAGGGCACGTCAGTCACATTATTGTCTATAGGCCGGTATGAGTGCCGAGGAAGCAGACACTGGCTGTGCTTAAGATCAGTGAAGGGAACTCGGTGCGGTGCCAACAGTGAATTCAGTCAAGGCCTAAATTAAAAAAGAAGCAATTAATTTAAAGTTAATTGTATCCAGCGTGGCGTTTTTTTTCCTTGTGCACAGCTTTTCCTAATTCTTCCACGTCTAAAACAAAATGTAAAGATCTGAAATGGCTGTGGAAGAACACTTTCCAAAACTGTACAGGCAATTCTTCCAGTGGCGCTGAGGAGTCCTGAAGGATAATATTCAAGGCTAAGTGCTAACTAGTGCAGAGGAGGAAGTGTGATGCTAAGCAGTTTCAAACAAGAGCCGTACACCAGGTCTAGTCTGTGGAGACCTTTATTCTCTGACAGAAGCGGGTTGTGCCTATTTGAGGTTTTACAGCATTGTGCTCTATCTTGAGACACTGGGAGCTGTTTTATCTGCAGGTTTAGCACTTTTAATCCTTTTAACTTTTTTTTTTTTACGACTGGCCAGCACTTTCCCCTTAAATGCTGTAACAACCTCCCCCCAGTCTTCTGAGGAAAGCCCGTCTGCTTATTGTCACATGTTCGTTTGGTTATAATTTCCATCCCCTGAGTCCCAGTGACTCCAGGGGGAAAGGACACAACACAGGGAAACAGACTGACCACAGTGTGTCAGTGCTCCTCATGAGTGGATTTCCACAGCACATGATGGGTCACGCTGTCTCTAAGCCATGGAGAGAGAGAGAGAAACCTGCTCCATCCTGTAATTTAATACAGGGCAGGGGGCATCTGGAAAAAACGAAAACAATAAACAAGAAAGTAGTCATTAATTTTTTACAGACGCAAACTTGCCTCAGCATTCCTCTAAATTAGAAAGCCGCGTGGAGGCCAGATTACAAAGAATTTAATCTTTCTGTTTAGCAGCTCTTGTGGAATCAAATCCCCCTTCTCAGGGTCATTTGCTCCGTGAGTTGGTTAACACAGACATAACAGATCAGTTCACTTCAGGAGAAAACAACAGTGGCCACAATACCCTCCTGCAATTTAAACTCTCTAAAGACATAATTAGAAGTGTCGTGTTCCGAGTGAAAGAAAAAATAAATAGATTGTGGGGGACAGAATTCTTTCAGATAAGATATGGGGATTTTCAGTCTTCCAAAAGGCTCTGACAGGAATTCTTGAGAACTTTTTCTTTTCCCCAAAGTCTCAAATACAAAGCAGCAGATCTATTCTAGGAAATAATAATTTCCACATTTTGATCAGCCTTCTACTGATTTCACATGGTATGTGAACAGCCTACAATTTGTTTATGTGGGAGCAAGTACAACTCCCTTCTTAGATAAATTATAAATTTAGCAGCTCATCATTGCATATTGGCTTATCGTTTAGTTATTTCTTCACTGCCATCTGTTACTCAGTGCTGCTCTGCTTCGTTTGACATTCGCTTGAGTGATGACTTGCTGTTTTAGAATGCACACACGTCACATGATTGTTTAGCCCCCTTACAGTGATATCTTATTGACAAGCAGCTTAAGGCTTTAGGTTGGTTAGACTAATAAAAATTACAGAAGCACTTCCAGCAGAAACGCAAGCAGTGCATTGAAATGCTATAAGGCCTTTTAATTCTCTTAAAAGCTCAGAATGAGTCAGCGTCTCCTGCGGAGGACAGCGATGCTGAAAAGAACAGAGGCGCTTTGCCAATGCTACATTATGCAGTTAACTCTACACGGTACAAGAGCAAGAGGATCAGGGTTGAACTCGTTTTTGACCGCATTTCGAAGAAGAGCAACAACACTTGACAAAGCAAGAGAAACTGTTTTTAGAAAATGATATAATCTGTGATGCTCTGTTTGAATAGCGGCTGTTCCCACATCAGGCCCTGAGAGATCTTTGCTGAAATGTATTTTTTCCCATACAGTAACTCTTGTTTTAAATATCCCTTTTTATTTTTTGTGTATGAAGACTGTATTAAATTTTAGACAACCCTTTATCTTATAGGTTATACAAACATGTACTGACATGCGGTCATGTTATACCTGTTTAATAGTGTGGCTTTTATGGACTATTATCTCTGGATTATTTAAATATAAATGAGTTACTACAAAAATGTTTGTGGATTAAACAAGCTGTAAATCCTTGAATAAAAAAAAATCAGAACAATCATTTGAGTTTCACTTGTAGATCCCCTTGTGATTTGCTTTTATTTCTTAACTCTTTGTGTGACGCTTCAAATACCACTGTACTTCTCTGATTGTCTCCAGGCGTAAAAAACATGAAGCTGCGTGTTGAGACAGAATTCTGGAAAGGAACTGATAAGACCACCAAACAGTCTTAGCCAACCTCTGCCGAACGTTAACCTCACACTGGATTGGCTTATTTCACTTCAAAGGGCTTTCCTTTCCAAGCAGTTCACAAAAATGTTTCACTCCTGGGTTCAAGTAGCAGGCGGAGTATCGTTTTTGATTTGCTGGATTTGACGCCCCCTCGGTGAAGAATCAGTGGTGTTTCAACAACTGTTCACTTGAAATGGAAAACCTGCGTTTCAAAAGAAGGTGAGTTAAGGAAAAATACAGTTTGGGGAGCTACTCGGCTGCCTAAATACAAGGAGCTGAGTTAAACATTTGTCCCCGGTTTCGTCTACCAAGAACGGCAGGCAGATTTTGACTCATACTTTACACCTCAGAAAATATGCGGTGTTCTCAGAGAGATTAGAAAACTTTATCCTCCCTTTCCTATAAGTCGGCAGTGGTGGGCTGGGTAGGATTTGATCTCATTAGGTCATGACATCTCCAAAGGAAGCTGTGAGTGAGCAAGCTGAAAAGGAAATGGTAGTACACAATGTTTTTCGTACAGCTGCAAACTCCGAAAACTATCCTGATTGCTTGCAGCGATACATACCACTATGTTTAAGTACGCAGAAGGCTTAATTCAAATCTGGCTTGCGGACAAACTAGCTTCCTGAGCAGTCTTTTACAGCGGACATGTCTCGAAGGGACCAGCGCTATCGAAACCGAACTCCGGGCAAAAAGTGAGTTTGTAAGAATTGTCAAATAACGGTAAATGTTGAGCAGTTTTGCATAGCATGGAAACATCTGTATGCCTGTATACCTTCAAAGAGGCGCTCTAGTTAGTTGGCTTGATGTTCAGTCTAGCATTACTTTTAAAGATCTGAAACTATTTCAATGTGTGCAATTTTAATTCCTCATTTGTTCTGACATGTTGTGCACGTAGGGTGTGCAGTTCTGTTTCTTCTAAACTCTGCTTTGGCAGCATTTGTGCGTTAGAGTAATAGATTTTTTGTTGACTTCAATCTGAAGATTACATTTCGCACTTGATTTCTGTATCTGTTTTGTAATGCTCCCATGACTGGGGAAATTTGAGATCTAACAAAATACAAAGTGAAGAGTACATTGTATTTTTGTCCCACCTTAGAGTCAGAGGGTGCATTAAGTTGATTTTCTCTGTGGGCTACTTTACTTTGGAGCAACAGCTTGCCTGCACATGAGCTGAGTGAGTAGGAGTTGCAATTTCCACATTACATTTAAGGGTTAGCTGGCCTGAACATTACTTTTGAATGGTTTTGATGTATTATGGTTCTGGTATATTCTGTGCTGGAAAGCTGTGGAATATAATGTACTACAACCTTACATAACAATAATGTTTTGGAAGGTTGTGGTACATGTATATCCTTGTGGTATACAGTATTGTATTCTGAAAGGTTGTGGTGTGCAGTATTATTTTCCGTGAGGCTGTGGAATATTATGATCTGGAAAGCTGTGGTATGTTGTGAGAGGTTGTGTATATGATGTTGTGGGAAATTAAGGAAGAATAATCAGCACTTGCCCTGTATCTTGACTGGCTTTGCTTGCAATGGAGGGAAGAATGTGGTACAGATAATCACATTTATTGTACTTTCTATTCAGCAAGGAAAGTCACGAGACAGAGAGGGAGACATGCTTCTGAGAAGCAGTGAGAGGCTTCTGCTGCTGTCTTTGGCTTCTTGTTTCTGCATCTGTATATGATCATCTGGCTTTCATTAGGCTTTGATTCATAACGGTAAACAGTGCTTGATGATGATCATGTACTGGCTCTATAGAGCACAGTATAGCAACTGAGACGCATTTTGTTCTGTTTTCCCTTTTTTTTAGGGCAGCAGTAATAGGGCACGACTTCCATCCCTGTCAAAAGAAATCTCAGTGCCAGCTAAATGCCTTAGTCTGGATTGCGTCAGGATAGCCAGGTGTTCTGTATGTAGATGATATTAAGGCATCCTGGGCCCAATGAGCAGCAACACTCAGTGGGGGATTTGCATAATCATGTTTTTCAGAAGCTAAAGTACTGTGTGTGACTTTTTTCCAATCACTACCTAGAAAAATAAATTGTCGTTAAGGCTGTTTTAGAATCTTGTTTTTTTCTGTGTGTCACTTAGAATCATATTTTGGTAGGGTGCACAGAGCAAAGAATGAGAAGTAGATGACTCGGTGTTTCAAATATGTGCAAAATAAGAGGACAGCAAGAGGAATTGGATCTCGGAGACTGGAAGAGGGTTAGTAGAGGGACGGTCCTGGGACAAATGTGAGGGTACCTAAGCCATACAGCAGTGAGATTAAAGTACGCTGATTCTTTCTTTCAACTTTTTCTGTTTAATCTTTTAATCAAAAGTCAATTGAGAACAAATTCTCACTGACGTAATTTCAATGAAGAGTCCATAAATAGCTTGGTTTGAGGAGATAGTAATGTTCTGCGCGGATTAAACCTTGTTTGTGGAAGACGTCTGACAGCGGTGATGTCTGATGTTATCTGAAGCAGAAAAACAGAAGCAAAATGCCTGGATTGTGGTACAAAGCCTTCAGCTGTATGGCAAATGATAAAGGAGCCTGGCAGCCTCAGGCTTGCTAAATTACAGGCTAGGTAAAACAGCCTTCCTTTCAGCTGATTAAGTCAAAGTGAATAAGGGATGGCACATGGATGAGGACAGTCCTATATTTCTTCATCTTTAAGTTTAATGAAACATGCTGAAATAGTTGTGGTACCCCAGCCCAATACCTACTTGGCCTTTACCATTCATGGCCTCCTAATAATCCCCATCTCTGAACTGGCTTCATCACTATGTTCTCCTCCCCACTGAGAGCCGGTGTGTGGGGAGCGTTCTGGCGCACTATGGCTGCCGTCACATCATCCAGGTGGGGCTGCACACTGGTGGTGGTGGAGGAGATCCCCACTACCTGTAAAGTGCTTTTTGTGGAGTGTATAATAATGATATTTAATAGTGTATTATACCAATGATAATAATACTTGATCATTATCACATTAATGCGGGACTGTCATAGCTCATTAATTGCCATAGTTTTTGCTGGAATGCTACTGAATGTGAATGCGGGACCACTGAGAAGACATGTTCTGTGAAGCAGTCAGTGTTTCTTTTCAGGAGAGTCAGATCTAAGATCTTTCTTAACATCCAATGCTCGGGAGTCACTTTCCACTAACTCCTAAGCTGACCTCTCCACCTGCTCTTTGGATGTGCATTGATTCACAACACATACCTTTTAGAAAAGTAGAAATGAGATATTGTGTGTGTGTCATTTAACTTCTGATATGACAATCTGATATAGGAAAAATGAACAAAACTGCATCTGAAAGATTGTTCAGCCACTGGAATCCATTCAAGGTTTTGTTCTGCTTAATTTTTTTTTTAACAGAAGTTAGTGATGCTTTAAGTCAAGCATTATTACAAAAAACTATAGGCATGAGGTCTTGTGAACCCATTGCAATAGAAAGGTTCAGCTGGTGTCTGTTGTCTGCAAACATTATTTTTTCGTGAACTGACTTGTCATAGTGCTGGGTCAGGAGAATAATGACTGCCTTTTTTTTTACACAAACAAAACGAGCATTGACACGTTGAAAAGAAGCGAGGGCTAACCCTAAACAATAAAACTGCCCACTGGTACATTACTGGGATGGTTTTACAGCCCATTAGACTTTACATTCCTCAGAGATGACTTTGTACATTCTGGGGCAAATCCCTTTCAGACTCAAATAGCACACTTTGATTTGTTCCGCTACAGAGAACCCCTAGTGTGCTCTTGCTGCCATTTTTCAATCAATGCATATGACCTGCTCTATTTTCTTCACCTTAAGATGCACATTGGCTGAATCCCAATGCAGCAATTTAGGAGTTAATTGGGCTGCTCTAGTGTGCATTGTGTTTGCTGCTCCCTGATTGGGCTTTTGATTCCCTGGGTGGATTTAAACAGACCAATCAGGAAAACCCATGCAATAGATGATGTAATTGCTTTCTGCAGACAGATGACGTCATCCCCTCATTCTCATTCAGTGCTTGCCTGGAATGGAGTTTGGGGGTGGGGGGGTGGGGGTATGATTTATAGTTGTACTTTACACTTGCTGGCACAGAACACTCTACATTCGATGCTGCACTATAGAGGCCTCAGGGCCTGTGCCAGTTTCCAAAGGCATGCCATTCAAAACTTGCACTTGGAGACTGTGCCAGCATCTTTCATCACCTCATGTATTATTTGTTCCAAATTACTGTGGATGGAAAATTTCCTATTGTTAGATGGGCTTTAAAGAAATCCCCGCTTCACAGGGGAATACCTTTTTAACCCGAGTCTAGATCCTCCGTTTTCAAAATGTGGTCTGGCAAACTCAGTTACATTGTATTCCTAGAAACTAGAAGTAACACTTTACAAATATTTATCTTGCCTTGTTTTACAGTTCCTGTACTTCTGTATTCCTACTGTGTAAGGACTTCGGATAAAAATTATCCCCTGGTTTGCTTGGTTGATTTCTCATTTTGCCAGTGAAATTTCCATTTTCAAAAGCAGGAAGAAAATGGAATTAATAAAACTCTATTTTAATCAGAGATCTGCCTATTAGATATTTAAAAACTGATTAAAACAGTTCAGCCTACAAGCTGTTGTGTTACATTGTCTTCATTTAAAAAAATGTAATTTATTTTAAATCCTTCAATATCTGTCCTCCTTAACAATCCAGGAGGCCCGGTTCAAAGAAACTTTACAATAGTTTACCCACTTTGTCATTACAGTATGTGCGTTTGTAGGTTGAAGAGCAGAAAGCATGAAATGGCGAAACATATATGCAGTATAAGACAGCCTGCCCTGATTCTCCAGAGTACATAGCTCTAACCACATGCCTCTCTATTCTAGAATGTAGTGTTGTTTCTGAAAAATTCCAGAACTTTCTAATTGTTTTTTTCTCTTTTGTCACATTGCTACATTTAAAAAATGGCCTTCCTGCTTTTTCTTCTTGCATACAAGAATACATCCATTAGAAATGACCTGTTAATAACAAACAGAAGGTGCACAATAAAGTAGATGAAACCAGTTCACAGTGAAATAAAACCATACACCGCCTAAGAAATTGTGTGGCAGAGCAGAACGTACTTCCTCCCTGTATCAGTGTCCAGTGTCTACAAACGCTACCGTGTTGTTGCAACACAACACAAGATCCCAATATGACCCTCAGGGAGCATAATAGGAAACTTGCACCCTGTTGAGTGAGGCAATTTATAGTAACAGCAGAGCAGTGAGAACCAGCTGCATGTTCCATAGATAATTCTGCTTCCTGTACACAAATATTACTTTAGAGCTTTGAGCTGTCATTGGGGGAGTGGCAAGCTACTTCTCCAGGGACATTGTTTTTGGTGGACAAAAACATGTTGCATCCACTTACGCTAGATCTGAACGTCAGTCTTCAAACCACAAAAAAGCAGCTTCAAGAAGGTTGTTCTGATGTTATTTTCCAAGAACCTTGTGACAGTTACAGTTGTGACACCAGTTACAGAAAGTCTGGCAAGGAATTGTCATGTAAATTTCCATGCCAGTCATGCTAAAAGTACCCTCTGTTTTTGTTTATGAATGAGTCTCATTTTCATTAGGGATTATCGAGGATCACTGATTGTGAAAGTGATCCCTAGTCCCACGAATGAGCTGAAGTGTCATTTCCCATCATGGTGTTGATATAGATGCACAGCCTGTAGGAAGTCCATTT